CCATAACATATTGTTTATGTAATAAATGGAGGAATATATGCTTTACAAATAGTCTTTTATCTTCTTAAGATTCTTCAATATATTTCTGAAGCACCTTAACCACTCTGGCAAAGTGTTCCTTTCATATTTAGCCTAACGTCTTGCATAATCTTCGACAGAATTTATAATATAAATTAATTTCTGTTGCCAAGTGAAAGGCCAGAGCTCTACACAGGCAACTTTGCCACATATGATCCACATATGTGTATCATATGTGAATCATATGATTGGTTTCATATGAGAATCATAAAAAAGGGCATCATATGTGAATCATATGAAGCAAATCATGAGTCGCATATGATTCACATATGTGAATCACATGAAAAGAACTTCATATGATTTGCACATGAAAAGTTTTAGTGTGTTTCAAGTCATTTACATATGAGAATCATATGAAATGGGCATCATATGAAACATTTATGTGTTGTTTTTTTCATATTTATCAAAAGGAAATACACACTTGTACACATTGAAAATCAGGTATTTCTGCTTTAGATGAAATTTCAGTACATTCCAATGATCTGTTAAATACCTGTAAATATTTGATAATGCTTGCATAATTTTCCAAAAGTATCTTCATCAACAGAAATAACTAATATCACACAGTGCACACTTTAAACAAGAAAGTATACAAACAAGTCAGTAGCATTTGTCGATACATGTATTTTACATATTCTTAAACGAGTACAAATTATTTGAAAGGATTTCAGCAAAATGATCAAGGAGATGAACATGTATACATGTACCAATGAATAACATAATTAAATCATGAACTTGTATAAAAATACCATACGACATGGAAGTGTCCTTAGCAAAATTGAAACATCTGCAATAACATTTGTCAATATATGTAATCTCTATTGTAAATTTATGACAAATCATAAGTAATTCAGATTACATGTACCTACAGCATATTTAACACATAAATGAGTATGAAATCACAAAGGATGGTGTCTCGATCGAACAAAGATACATATATACATATATATAGTTTTTCATAAAAATTGTTTATGTATTTATGCATAAAGCATGAAATATAAAATGTGAATACATTACAATGAGATTTTACAATCAAATCGATATTCCAGTATACATATAAATATAGAAAGCCTTGCATGTCAAAGTCTGACAAGATTAAGTACATCCTCCTCATTCATATTTATTCCAGATATTTCATAATTCTTTTCTCTTCTTTCTCTGTCAACTTTTCCCATTTGTCCTCCCTCTGATCTTCCATCATCATATTGAAAATTCTTTGAACTGTACCCAAAATGCAAATCCACCAATGTCCCCTTTCTGAACAATTTGTTTGTGGCACAGAATAATCTCTAAAAATTATTTTTAAAATAATTAGCATTAATAATAATAACAAGAGGTCCATGGACCACATTGTTCACCTGAGCAACAATGGCAAACTCACTTAACTCTGACACAAGTGGCTTTTGTGAAATGTGTGTCAATACAAAAAAGTGCTGGAATAAATTGCAAAAGTATTTTTTTAATGTTTGTTCTATACTGATCAAATTTACTCAAGATTCCCTCCTTAGGCCACACTATTGTAGCAATGTAGAATTTGGTAAAAAGATTTATTTTTTCCTATACACAAGTATAAATTACTATGTAAAACTTTGCAACCCTTCAGGGGCCCCACTGGTGGTTTAGTGGTCATTGTTTCAACAAACTTGAAACAATGCATAGGGATGTTTGCAAAATAATATCACAAATTGTAGTGTGGTAGTTCTTGAAAAGCAGATTTTTAAAGACTTTATATAATCTATAGGTTGAACTTTGAACCCCTACTGGTACCTTACTATTAGTCCTCTTTGCCAAGTTCAGTTGAAATTAGGCCAGTGGTTCTGGAGAAGAAGACATAAATCTGAAAAGTTTATGCTAACAATGATGATGATGGACAACGGACAATTTTGATCAGAAAACTTCACGTGAGCCTTCGGCTCAGATGAGCTAAAAACAAGTACTTTCATTTAAAATGAAAGTACTTGTTTTTAGCTCATCTGAGCTGAAGGCTCAAGTGATTCTAAAGATGAATATGATTGGAAAAATTGTTTGTGACATCCAACAAACATAAACTAATTTTCTATCATTGATCATATTTACTTGACACCCTATATTATTTCCAAGACATTTATTTCACTTTTGGAAGACATGCTTCATAATAAAATCATAAAATTTTAAAAGTAGTAACTTTTTTTCAAAAATTTTGACAATTGAATTTGGAATGTTCAAATAGTATATATTAATTCAGATTGCAAAAATTTAAATAGATTCGGATACAAATGTACAATTTTTGGACCAAAAAATCTACAGACAAACAAACAGGCAGAGAAACAGACATTGTGAATCCAGTATATCCTAAAACTTTGTTGGGAAAAATATAACAAAGTTTATTATACAGGGTGTACTTACCTATTTTGAAGCAAGCCTAGGATATTGGTGTCTGTTCTTCCATTTTATTAATGAGAGAGGCTGACTGTATATTGAACCTATATAAATTATAAAACAAATATTCACACAGTATAAATATTTTCTAGACATATATCTTATCCAACTAAAAGTTAAAAGAAACTACAAAAGAGAGTGAGTACAAGTCTTTAGGTTAAATTCTCTAGTGTTGAAAAAAAAATCTATCTATAAATGTTAATTTATATACATGTAAATAATCAAATGAAATTAGATAATGTACTTTCAATACACATGTAATATTACCTCTGATTAAGCTAAAAGTCATTATCCCCCAGAAGATAATGTATAGTTTTATAGTTCTTCATAGTTTTTATAGCCAGCAAGTTTTATAATATATGCTTTACATATTTTCATATGTTTTCATACCTTAATATATATTTTATTTGTGTGCTGGATTTGTTCTATAGAAAAAGAGTTGGATTAATTTAGTTTTTGATATATGTTTAAGTCATTACTTATATATACTGTGATGATTATTGTATTTATTTATTTATTTATACCTGCATTGTGATCATGCATCGTCTGCCAAACCAGCTTTGGGTTTAAATCGTCAGTCAAATCAGCTTTGTGCTCAATCGTCAGTCTAATCAGCTTTGTGTTCAATCGTCAGTCTAATCAGCTTTGGGGTTCTTTGAACAAAAAAAATATATATAAAAACAGCACTGTGACACTGAACTCCAGTTCCTAAATACATAATTTAAAACACGTTTCTCATTAATTTGATGAAAGAACCGAATGAATAACGAACTCAACAAACATTTTACGATATCTGCTTTTACAAGGTTTCTACTTTCACTTTCATATCGAATATAAATATTCAAGCGTAGCTATTAACAAAAGGGAAACAAATCTGAAAATTTAGTGATGCTAAATGGCCTAAACATTCATCGTTAACAAACAAAATTACTTACTGATCACTAGGTTTATCGGCTTTTTACGAACTGCATTAATTTAACAATTATATACAAAAGTGATGAGAGTACTAGAAAGTTTATACGGATCTGTAACCGTAATAAAATGATCTAAACACAATGAACTAGCCTTTAAAAAGTCTTTTAAAACGTATCCGAGATCACTTACTATTTCCAACACCCAACTCTTCTGCTGCAGAAGTGACGTCAAACATGACGTACACTTTCGTCTGATAAAAACCGAAACCGGTCCGTAAAAAAATGTGGAAAGATTTTAATTTTACTCATAAAAATAAAACCAACCATAACGGTTTTTGGATAAAATACAAATCAGTTTATTCTTGATGAGTTTTGTTTTTCAAGAAAACAAATTTTGAATTTTATGAAAGGATTTGGGGGGGGGGGGGGAGTAATAGAGTACTTATTCCCTTTTTATCCAAGCTTCTTAAGGAAATGAACATCTTGATTCTTTTGAATAAATATACATTTAAATTTACACATCTTGATATATGTTATTGAAATTATTTTTCAATCATGCAGTCTACTTGTTAAAATATAACACCAACTTATTCATATTAAGCTTAATATGAAATTACTCAAGTGTTAACTGATTAACATTGAATAAACGTATTTTTTTAATCTCATTGAATTAAAATAAAAATGAATTTTACCTGTTTATAAGAAGGACAAATAAATAAACACACACAGATCTGTTTCATTTGATTCTCCTATGATAATTCTCAAAGTATGCATATGATTCTCATATGCAGAAACTTTCATATGTGTATCTTATGTATATTGCTTCATATGATTTACATATGCGTAAACATATGATCCACATATGATTTTTCCACACATGATATTCATATGTGATTGAATATACATATGAATCTCATATGAAGGGCAATGCATATGTGGATCATATGTGGCGAAATTGCCTATGTATGTATGTAGGACCTCGTATGGTAACTTATGTCTTAAGCTTCAACTGTATTGTGGAATGCAAAACTGATTTATTTTTTTTTTTTTGGTTAAGAATGTTACTTTGTTTACGGCATAATTCCTTTGTTGATAGGTGAAGTCAAAATTATCTACCAAAACACGTGGTGGCTCAAAAAGCCTGAGATGGGCAACATTCATAACACTAGCATGGATTCTGCAGTCGACTAATCTAAGTACACACTTGCTTTAGCTTCTTAAACAAAGAGCTAAATAAAAGAAATAAACAAAGAGATGACAGAATTCTTGTCATTTTATGTATTCCTACGAAATGAAAAAAAGAGATCTTACTTTGCTTGAATACATCAAAACCATAGATGTTATATTATGCAGAACTTCAGTTTATGGTGTAGATTTAAATATTATTGGTATATATGTATTCCCTAGAATACCAAAATATCATGAAAGTCTAAAGCATATTGAAGCAAGAGAATACTTAAAACATGCTCATTGTGATTATCAATACAAATACATGTATATTCTCTTTCACAAGATGAGCTCAAACACAAATACATGTATATTCTCTTTCACAAGATGAGCTCAAACACAAATACATGTATATTCTCTTTCACAAGATGACCTCAAATGTATACATACTTAGGTTTAGTCAAGTTCAGTCACTTGTGTCCCTTTACAAGAAAAGGAATAATCACTGAAAAATGTTTATAAATGTGGGAAATCAGGATATTCCAGATTGATCATAATTCAGATTAATAAGGAAGACTGTATCTTCTTGACAACCGACTTAATTTCCTCGTTGCCCACCTCTAATATCCCTTTATTTCCTACTTTTTCCAGGTGATAACGCAGAAGAAGACGCGCTAAAAAATGGTGGCGGAATCTAAAAACGTCTTGGTTTTCAGTGTTTTCTAGATATTTTGTTAAGGTTGTATTCATTTTAATACACTTTGGGTTTCTGTAAATAAAATATGACGTCCTAGGAAGCTGATTGGCTTCCCTGGATTGACTGTATTCGTTATTCTTTTCCTGTTGTGGATTGTTGTAGTCATCATCCTTACTCTCGCATTCGTCTCTTAACTTGGTCCAACTTGTCCAATTTATGTCTCCTTGATCAACAGAGGGAGTGTTACAGAGCACATAAACAAGTGTAACATATACATCTCTTTCATTTTTAAAAAGGTCACAGAAATTTTCATTTAGTTTGAGTATTGGATTTTTCATGAATTCTTCGGATTTTTCGATTTGGCAATAATTTTCTGCAATCAATTGAACCAATAGAGGAAATCCTACATCTTCCGAAATGTTCCCTACATATATTCTTCTGTCAAGCCTGTTTACAAGATGTTCTCTCTCAGTAAGAAATTCGTAGTTTTCAGAAATATTGACAAAATTCGATTTAAATTTAACTATCAATTGTTTTTCATCAAAAAAAGAATCTATACATATCATGGCTTTGTGATTTTCCTTGCCTTTGCATCTATCAATTAAACTGATAATTGTATTTCTTATATCAGTCTTTAAATTTTCCTCTAAATCACAAACATTCCATATTCCAAAACAATCATCCCAGACAACTACATCACCTTTGTCACTTGTTAGTTCTGGTAATTTCGTCTGTTTTGGTTTCATGACATGTACATTATAATCCATGAATTCCTCCTTCACGATGTAATTTGCTAATGTTGTTTTTCCACTTCCTGGCCCACCACCAATAATTATAAACCCGGTTTCCTTTAATAAACTTACTGCATTTTCGTATAACCTCGGAGGTACAACTGTTTCTGCAAAGTAGATAACAATATGCTTCAAGATGCTTTGTTCAGTCCTTGGAAGAAGATTTAAGTTAAGTTAAACTTACTTACTACATAAATATATATACTCGTACTTACCCTGTTTAGGAAATAAACCTCGCATCGGAGCAATTGTTGGAGAATATACCCCGATAGTCGATAGATTTTTTTGGCAAATAAATACCGAGCCGAAAGGGCGAGATGTTTTTTGCCAACAAAATCTTCAGACTGAGGGGTATATTCTCCAACAATTTCGACGAGGAGGGAATTATTTCTATTCTACTACGGCAAATATTAAAACTTGCATAAAGAGAAATGCAGAAGCTAGATTTGGATGTCATCATAAGAGTCTTATGACGTCACAACTGAATGCTATCCTCGTTCATTTGTATCTCAAGGCTTAGAAAAGTGCGACGTAATCCGAACGCAATGTAAATGTTTTCCCACCAATTTGCGTCACAATCAAAGGATATCTCTATCCTTTTCCTGAAGGCAGTTAAAATAAGAGGAAATCGATTTAAAATTATCGATAATTTGTTGATGACGTTTGTTATTTATTGGAGAATAATGGCCGCGGCATCTCTTTGGTCTTTCCAATAACTGTAGTAGAATAAAGAACAATCTCTAATAGTAGGACTATCACAAACTGGAAATATTGTTCTTTCTTATATTTTATCTTGGTATAACATATATCTTCTTTTGCTGTTATTCATTACTAATTTTATTAAGTGTGCTGTCCGTATTTCAGAATATTATACATGTACTTTCATGTGAATTAGTTGAATCTGATTCGTCGAGAAATATTTGTTAAAAAAACACAATTGCCCGCTGAATAATGAAGCCACGCCCTGTAGCGTAGCAACAGTCAATATTGCTTGACGACGGGTGTTATTAAAAAAATAGCGACTGCTCAGAATATATGCGCGGAAGGTTTACTGTTGTATGTATTTATATAAAACATTCAGTATAATATAATAAATATTGCATGTAATTGAGTGTAACATTGAAAATTTTCACCTCTCGCAAACCATTGTCAACCTCGACTGCGCCTCGGTTAACAATGGTTTTCTTGGGGTGAAAATTTTCAATGTTACACTCAATTACATGCATAATTATATATCCATTTTTCGATGAATAAAAGAATTTATATAGTCAGTACTATACTGGAAAATTGTAAAGTATTTAATGCAGATTTCAAAATCTTAACACCAAATTTAGACTTTATATCATCTGATATATATTACCTTCTTTTCTTGCATCTTTATTATTATCCTTGTTTGAATCTTCTAATAATGAGCGTGTTTCTTGAAAATAAAAAAAATATTGATGCTAGTTGTTTTACTGGAAGGAAATTGTGTTTTTCGGCAAATTTGTTTTGCGTCTGTTCTAATATTTTTTCCGCTTTTGTCGTCTATTGAAGAAAAACCTATTCAACTCCCCAACTGTCTCATTTACAAGATCTGATAAAAATGTGAACAAATTAAATTTTGCCTTAATTTATCATTTGGCAAAGATTTATATTGAGATCGATCACTGTTCGTTATCTTAACCTTTTTCATGTGTAATTTGGGTTCTGCGCTGAATCAAAATATAAATCCGGATCTCCATATAATGTTGGCTGTGGTAGTGGAGTGTTAAATGTAATAGGTTCTTATTTGATCAATATAAAAAAAATAATTCATTGTGTTGAATTTAATATTTGACTGGATTAATCTGCACTACTTACTATTAATCAAACAAACACGCAGAATTCGGCTATGTTACTTAAAGACTCTTTCGATCATTCTTTGTTTCCTCCGAAACAGAGATTCAAATGCAGGGTTACAACGTACAATTAAACATATTTACAACAAATACAATGTAGTAATAATTAAAATTAAAAAAAATAAAAATAAGTGGATTGGACAAAAAGTTACACAACCGATGGTAACCTATTGGGATAATTAATACGGCGTGCAAGGGTATTTTGTTCATGCTGTCAGAATAATAACAAAAAAAATTGAGGTGCATGTATATGATGGTATGCGAAAGGCGCCATATGTAAGAGATTGTTTTAGTACATTTTTATCAAAATGTTGAGAATATCAGCATAATAAGAAATGGCGGATGTGATTGATCGATAGGAGATGCTCAATCCTCAAAGGCACAAGATCCCACCTTTAATTTGCAAAGATTCTGGTATTTTGTTCACTATTTACGCCGATTTAACTTCTGAGCATGATAACTGCTCTCAATCTTTCGTGTTTCATTGAAAATTTAAAACAATGAACACCACTTGCAAGAATCAATTGATCTTTATTCTTGTGTTGGAATTTCAGACTTTTTTTCTCGAAGTATATCGCGTTCTGGAGCAGAGTAATACCTTGGAATGCGTTTTAAACAATTTCAAAGAAAGAGATAAATACTAGTTAGTCAACAACAGAAAACGGGAACCTTAAAAGCTAAGCAACGTCTTAAAATGATCTGGGCTGTATATCCAGAATGCCAAGAAGAGTCCATTTGTACTAATGTAAATAAAATGAAGATAACGAGCAGTGATCGATCTCGAAAAATCTACAAACAATACAAATATGTGAAGAGGGCATAACACATGGACCCCTGGAAATTCCAGAGGTGGGATCAGGTGCCTAGGAGGAGTAAGCATCCCCTTTTGACAGGTCAAACCCGCCGTGTGCCTTATGTATTGACCAGAAGACGGAACTTTCCGCAGTCAGTTTAGTATAAAAGCAAAGGCCAAACAACTGGAATGAAACAAGTCAGCAAAAATACGACCCAATGATAGTGTGGCGGTCAGGAGATTTTGACCGTTATTATTGCTAACAAGGTCATTATAATGACCATAAATTTACGAAATGTCGATTTAAAACGAGCTTATGAAATTCCTGTAACATCAACGTATGTGTAAGTAGCATGTTCATGAGTATCGAATAAGATGGGAGATGTAAACATCATTTGCAGGTGATAGCGATACAGCAGCCAAATGTAACTGTAGCATACTTTTGATTTTATAGGTTCCCATGCTTTAGCATTTCATAATTATTGTTAGTATTTAAATTTTTATTGTACATGCCTTTTGCAATGTAGTTTGTTATACTCATATACATACTTATTTCATTTTCTAAGAAGTCAAGTACATACATTGACTGGTTATGTTCGCAAACAAGGTCATTATAAAAATAAAGGTCGACTTTAAACGAGAATGTTGAAACCACTTTAATATCACCGTATCAGTGAATAGCCTGCTTCGCTTTAAAATTGATAATACTCAGAGCAAGCTCTTAAATAGTGAATAAACACTATAGGTAGGTGATAGTGGAATATTACTACATAAAATGACAATGAAAAAAGCTGAATTCAACTTGTTTGTCATACAGTTTGGTTATTAACTGGCCTTTATTGTCTATAGTCAGTAAAACTACCAATTACGAAACAGATGTGGCGGACTCTGTGTTTTTTTATTTCAAATTCACTGGGATATAACGAGTCGATATACGAAAATTACTTTTGTTAATTGATAAAACATCTGAATGTCGAATTGAAGGCCAAAGTTAGTATTTTCTTCTTCTCGTGTAAAAGTTTTTGAATAAATTCTACTTAATATAAATATAAAACCAGGTTAGCTAATAAAGGAGAACAATTAGTGCCCATCGAAATTCCAACAGTTTGTTGTACAATTACGGTGGTTTTTAACGAAGTAAGTTTTCTGATGACCAATCACAAGATGTGAAAATTTCTGAATTCGTTTTTATTTAAGAAGCATTTGTCTATGATACCAAAAAGTCTAGATAATTATTTATAGTGATGCATTGTATAAAAAGTGTAGAAAAATCGTAAGTTTTGATATGATAGACTTTAAAAAAAAATATTTAAAAAGATTCTAAGATCTTTAGCGTTTTTGAGGATCCACATCTGATTTACTCCACTTCTAGAATAAGCTCTAATACAGTACGTCTGAAGTTTCACCTTTAGAGCAGTTAATATTTTTGCAAGGAGTAAAGATAAGGGCTTTGTAGAGCATTTGATGGACCAGCATTGTATCTTTGCAAGGATTTTTATGAAGTTTAGGAACCCTGTACAGGTAGGGTAGATCGAACTAACCTTGGAAGACGTATACAGAAACGACTTCATATTAAAAGCAAGGTCATTCTTAAAATTAGTGAGCGATGATTACTTAAATCGGGATTTTCAGCTTCCTCTTTTTTCAAATTAATAATTTAGGCATGAATTTATTTCTTGGCATTCATGATAACTTCCCTTACCTATGCAGCAATATACCCTTATCACCTGCATACGGAGTTTATATCTCTCAGTTGATTTGATACGCAAGAGCATGCTCTACGTATGAACAATTTCGAAAACGAGGTAAGTTATTGACAAACAAGTTGTTGAAACAAGAATATCAGCAGTCTCGTTTAAAGTCATCATTTCGTAAGTTCTATGGACGATACAATGACCTAGTCAGCAAATACAATCTATCATTAAGTCAAATGCTGGTTGACTTTTTTCATACTATTTGTTGGGCCATTATTCACGGTGTAGTACCTAAACGGTTGCTATCAGAACAAAAAAGCATTCAATGTTTCTATTCGAAAATTGTACGGCTGCTAGCTGAAATAAATATGTTGGAGACACTTGGAAAAAGAGGTAAAATTGTCAAAAAGTGACCCCAAATCGATTAAGTCTTGGAAAAAATCCTTGTGCACGGAACAAGTAAGGAATTTCTTTAAATGATGCCAGATGTATTTTGTAGAACCTTCTAAAAATTTAAATATAGTAAAATTTCAGAAGCCTGTACACATTCTCAAGTCAATATACTCCTAGTTTTCATGCTGCTTTTCATCATTAATAAGTTAGATTCTGTTCATTTTGGTATGTAAAGATGTGTCAATCTATAATAATACTTAGATATAATAAGAATTATTTGAAAAGATGTATTTTGAAAGAGATTTTTGGACAAAACACGATCTTAAGTTACGGTTGCTATCAGAATCTTGGTATGTATGCACCGGCTGATATTTGAAAAATAAATTCTTTTCCATCAAGAAAGAGAAAATCAACCTCATACCTCAACAATCCTTTTATTCTTTAAAAATTTAGAGATATATGTTAGTTTTGAAAGGTATGTTACGTTCCGTAAGGGTGAAATACTAAGCAACTAAACTTCAATAATTGAATTATTGACTATTTTGTTGAGCCAGCGAAGAAAAATACTTTCCATTTCGTCCATTTTTTTCCAGTAGCAACCGCACAATTTTCGGATAGCAGTAATGTACGCGCATTTTCTCCGATAGCAACCGTTAAGGCACTACACCGTGTTATTTACACACTGAATTGTCGACGGATTTTTCCGTTATTTCCCGATCATGACAAGGAGGAGACGACTGGTGTGACCGGTCGGCAGGGGATGCTCACTCCTCCATGGCACCTGATCCCATCTCTGATGTCTTAGAGGTTCTTGTTTGCTCGGTTCCTATTTTGTAAAGTTTAATGGACTTTTGAGCTCGAATACTGTTAGTTATCTCCACATATTTCATAAAGGAGTGAACCCGATTGTCTGTTTTTGGTTGTTGAAGCAGACATGCCTTTAAAACTCCTTAATCGTTTAATTCTTATTAACATCTTATAGATAGTAAAATAATTTATTTTGGTACATAAAAGAGCACAATATTCTTTTTTTCAACAATTCTATTTTTAAGCCTTTGGAAGCCAACGCAGATGATAATGTACAGATGTAAACATTAATTTGTAAATTTTAAATCAAATTTTCATATCGTGATTTTTTTTTTCACAATTTCCTAAATGTAAACATCCAACATAATTTTAATTGTGTTAAGTGTAAATGAAAAAAGATGAAGACAATGCATAGTTTGATCTAAAAATCTACAAACAATACAAATCTGTGTACATGACATAAAACGCGGACCCACGGAAGATCAAAAGCTTTGATCGTGTACCTAGGAAGAGCACGCATCCCCTGACGACCGGTCACACCCGCCGTATGTATTTATAATGTAAACGGAACATTCCGCAGTCAAATATGGTATAAAAACAAAGGCCTTACAATTAGTATGAAACAAACCGTCAAATTAACGACCCAGTAATAGGTTATATCATCTAACAAGGTATTTATAACAACCATAGAATTTACGAAATGCTGACCTCAAAGTCATATATGGCGTATTTTTAGAAGTTCAGACTAACTAAAATTAAAAAGATCTTTCTATTTGTTTTTTTTTTCCCTTTATATAAAGATAGGTCTTTCCTGTAAATTACACAATTTATATCAATCGCGTTTCAAAGGAATTTGAAATTTAAAACTATAACCGATTTATTTACCGACTCCGCATTTAAATATCAGACACAGTTTAAAGTCAATTTAACTATGGAAACATGAGATTTTTTCAAGATGAAAATCGGATCGGTGAAAATTTTCATTTGATAACATATATCATGTTTATCTACACTCATTCTCGTATTTTAATTTTTTAGCTCAGATACGCCCTATATAGCTTTAAATGAAGTTGTTGAGATTCCTGTAACATCAACTTACCGGGAAATTTAAAAATTGATCTTACTCGGAACATGCTGGTGAATACCGAATGAGTTGGGAGATTATACACAATATGCATAATACACAATATGCATATGACTGCACGATATTACTACATTGAAAAAAGGGTCAAGATAGCGAACAAAATTAGGTTGAAAACTGTGGCCTAAAAATTTAATGAACTCAGACCTGCTTACCCTTTTTATTGCGAGGATGTAATTTTAATACTCATTTTTTTTTTTTGGGGGGGGGGGGAATTTCAGGGGTAAAGGCGTATTCCTTTTCCCCCCCTATTTTGATGTTTTGCAATGGGCGTATTCCTTTATTTGCCCCTAGTTTGATGTTTTGTAATAATGCTATATTGTCTAAATAAATCAATAATTGTAAATCATTGAACAAAGCAAGCATGAATGTTTCTTTTTCAAATCATTTATTTACAAAAGGTCCATGTGTTATAAAACTGGTATCCTAAATGCAGTCATATCAAACTTATTTAAATTACATGCATAACGAACATTTCGTTAATTTCTAGCAAATCACATAATTCAGAGTTTCCACTCTAATACAAATTCTACAATATTGCTCTATGTCGTTTTTGTTTTCTATACATTTACGTGTCTCTTTGTTGTTCTAAGCAATGTAAGAATAACCCGATTTGAAAATTAAACTGACTTTACTTAATGCACATATCATTTAATAGTTTTCTTGACATGCCAACAGTTTAAAAGGCATATTATAACTACAAGGTATTACGTATAATGATTGTATAGTAATTAATCATCATGAAAAATCGAAATCCTCTATTAACAAGTAATATTTACCTTATCGTTTTCATTTAGGGACGCCTTTACTCTAACTCCCAAGTTCCCCTTCATTAAGAAGTTTTCCAGAAAAAAATATTTAAAAGCGTAAAATTAAATTTCATGGCGTAACAGCGTAATTTTGTGGTAAAAAGCGGAAGAATTACGCCAAAAGCGGAGGGTTAGGCAGGTCTGTTAACTGTGTCAGTCACAAATAAATCTAACTAAATGTTTGCGAGCAAGGTCATTATCCGTTAGCTTTTCTTATCTTACAAAAATTTTGAAGGAATATAGATTTCTTTTTATCTTAATTTTTTATATCGGCTTTGAATACCTTCAATATATGTTCTTTGTCTTTGCCATCTCACTAAGAATATAATCGCCAGGAAAACTAGGATCGGTAGGATTATTCCCAAGATTATCCCCCAAGAAACAACACTTGAAACCGTCAAACCTCTTGAAAAAAAGAAGACCTACTTAAAAAAACGAAGGCAATTTTTTTTGGTTAACCTAATTATAATATTAACATATTTCCATTTTATTGACTGTGAATGAAAGTTAAATCTTGTTTAGTAATAGTGGAATTTAGAGAGCATTGGTTTTGAAAGGTATGTAAAATATAGATATACACATGTACCTTTGTTCTTCATTACCCAGCTTAGTTTGTCCTGTGGTCCTGAAATTAAAGAAAAATTGTTCTTTGTATTCTGGTAACATTTAAATACGTTCATTCGAGATTTCTTATCACCTACATGTATGCTGGATTTGTTACTGCTGTCACATTTCCATTATCCAGTAGTGGAGTTGATTTCGTAGAACTAAGAAAAAAAATATTTTTGAACTGTACCGATAGAAAGATATACCTCTAAATACATATTAATACAAATCTCTTATTCATAAATAAACGTGAACAATTAAAAAAGTTAATGTCTATTATCAAAAATTACCTGATCACAATCCGAAAGCAGCTTGGATCTGAGTAGAGAAAATGTTTTGTTTTTTATTATTATTTTAATTAAAATATTAGATGCTTAATAACCACTCAATACATTGCACTGAATATCTGCTCTTTTTAAGTCATGCATTTAACGAATTAAGATTTGCTTTCTATGGTTAATATTTTCATAATTTTTCCTAGGATTATCGCCAACAATGCAGAACTAATTATTTATTATCAACAGATTTTTTTTACATAGTTTGACTCACATCCTTCAGTCACATTAACTTAAGATATTCTCTGTATAAATGAAGATGATAACAGGTACAGTGCGACCTACATTGATATACAGTGTTGGATAGATAAACACTTTCTGGACATTTCTCTGTCGCCCCCTGACATAGAATTACATCAATCAGGGAAGCTTTTGCGTTAAATTCGGGACAGTAATCTGTAAAAGGAAACAAGAAATGCTTATCAGGATTATATTTGTTTTTCAATCAATTACACCGTAGTTTTTATAATACACAGTGTTTAAATTGTTAACACTTGATCAAACGAGTATGACTTCAGTAAGAAAAGTGTAATCTTGCGCAGTTTAAAAGGTAAAGAATGTCTTTTGTACCAATGTCTTATTTGTTATTTAATCCATTGTGTAACAATTGAAAATACACAGAAAATAGCCCGTACCTATCAGGGCGAAAACATACCGCTGTGAAATCGGTTACTATTTAAGATATTTTAAACTACAGCACACAGTGTAAATATTTAACAGAACTATTGTCTAATAATATGAAAAGGCTCAAAAATAATATATATGCGTTTTAATAAAAAATTAAGAAATCCCTACCTGGTTGAATCCAAATAGTAGGTGCACAGAAAACGACGTAATGCCCATCTTGGTCCTGCATGCAGTGATAAACCGTATCGCCATGACAGATGTAATTCTTTGTATTCTCCCTCCATTTCTCCGCGGTATCTGGGCATCTCAGTCGGTACTCAAACAAAATCCCATAGGTTGTTCTGTCTATTTGTAACAGGAGAATCAACAGATATATATACATACTGTACATGACGAAACGGGAAGTAGATTGCCGGGATATACCTGAATTACATACCTTGTTACCATTGAACCTCACTAGTTACACTATATATTACACTAAGATCAGCCTCATTTTCAGTTTTAGTCTTTCTTTCAAACAAATAGATTCATAAAAGTACAGATTTAGGGAAGTAATAATATTTCGAACTGTAAATCCCTTTTACTTTAACATAAAAATAAACAAAATTACAGAATCAAAAATACATAAATATAAATAATGACATTATAAATAATAGTAAGCAAATAGCAATGAACTTTAAATGTGTTCTTGTTATGTAAGATAAAAAAAATAAGCCATAGTTAAAGAACTAACATTATAAGCATATAGTCAAACGCCTCTACAATGTAACAATGTGGCTGACTTCCATTTCAAAAGTCTTTTAGTCTTAATTTGGAAATAAATAAATCACTCCTTTTATCATATGATAAAAAAATGAATATTTGATAATATAGTAAAGTTTATAATAAATATTTAATAATGGGCTACAACAAAACAAATATAACAATTTACTTATATATCAACAATACCACTGGAATCAATAAGTTATATAACAATCATAGGCATGAATAATCTGACAAATCAACAATTATCAGTTTAACATTTAAATAAGTTTTATACAAAAAACGTAATTTTACAGCGCAAATAAAAGGTATTTTAGGCGTGTAACGCGTTACATTTTTTAAGCAGGGATCGCGCATTTTTCTTGTGTAGAGTGTTCAAAAATGAATCTAGAGTTTTTATTTTCTTCAAAAAAAACAAGAGCAATCTATGTCGTTTGTGACTTCATTAGCTATTCTGCAGTCAATGGTGGTAAGAAAAAGGACAGTTTTTTTTTACATAATAAGAATCTGTAACGCTTTTAATCAAAAACGCGCATACAGATATAGAGATTAAATTTACTCATTTACAAAAAAGTTTAAATAGAAACATTTTTTATCAAAATAATGTGCTTTTCTAATACATTTTAAGTATTTCATTAATGTTGGTATTAAACTGCATGTTTTATCGCCAATATATGAATTACAAGATCAAAAGAAATGTCCAGCGTCTAAAATGACGTGCAAAAATGAGATGAACTCGTTAATCGAGGGGTTAAATTCTCATTTTTTTCATAGATTATAAAAAGAATTATATGTTCATAATGTGCTAATTTAAATGATCAGATTGATTGACAGATTGATAAATTTACTCTATTAATTAATATTTTACGCAATATTAAGGAGGTTCAACATATTTGTCCGGTGGACGCTCTTGACGCGTAATTCGTTTTGCTTCAACATAATGCACGAAAGTGCGTTTGAGATTGCTTTGAGTAATTAACAAAGATACAAATCGAAAGCACCCTTTTTATTCATTAGTTTAATGACAAGTAACCTATGTGTTTTTTGTACTCATATTTCAAGTACAAAGACATAGCGATATGGTACCAGTCAAGCTAGTAACACTATTATCATTGTAAAAGCATAACATCAATTTTTCCGTAGCGATATAAAAGCGTAACGTCAGACGACACCAACATCGCGCGTAACGTCTATATATATCTCTTGGCAATGAAGATGGCACTCATTCCTGAGGAAATCTATGATTGAATAATACTGGTCTGGACACCTGCGAGAAAATAATAGTAAGGTCATTAGAGCAGAGTGATGTCTGGATCGGAAATGAGGCTGGCCAAGGTCGACGATGGGTTTGTCCTTAAGGAAGATTTGGATGTAGTAAAATGTTTTCCACCGATGTTCAGTATAGTTATTTCCGATTGTTGAAAGGCTGTATATTTTAGATGCAAGTTCATTTTGTTTGTTTGGATATATGCCAATGTTGGGTTTGGTAGGGTGTACTCTGCTGTATCGGTAGATTCTGGGGGGTCACTTTCTGTAAAATGGATAGTTCAGCGGCATCCTTCAAGGAAATTTTGTTGGCACGATCGGTCCTGGATGATAAGGCAAAGTCAACGGCTAGACTGTTCAGTGAGGGTAAGGTAGGATACAACGAAGGGTGTGATTTCTATTGTCTATTAGTTGCTTGAGGTTTCGGGGGAAGAAACTGACTTGGAAGGCTCCGATAGCGACAGAGGAATTTCTGATGACTCATGGTTGTACGTTGAAACCTGGGCTTACGGTTGGTTCTGAAATATTGTCAAGGAGACGGGCATAAAAGTAGTATTATCACCTGAAGATGTGGGAAAAATGGTAGGATCTCTAGCATTTGCTTGGTCTGAAGAACTCTCTATTGTTGGAAGATAATGTCCACATGTTTCAGGAAATGTCACTGTCATGTCCATCAAGGACGGTGATTCGTGATTGAATTTCCCTGGATGTTTACCATAGTGGCGACGTTTCTTAGATATAGATGGTTCTGTTAGAACGGCTTTCCTCTAAGAGGTAACGTAACAAGGTTGGTGTTGCCTACATTTGGTGAGATGGGCTTCATAACTGGGATACAAAACTTTGCCCTGCTTTTCTGGAAGACCTCAAATTCTGATGCTTCATGTCCTGTAAAAGTTCCCATCACGATTTGCAGTGAGCAGGACTGACAGGTATGTTTCTGGTCTTTTCTTACCAAGATGATTCCACAGATAGTGCATTTGTGACCGAAGTAGTAGTATGGCCCTTGCAGAGGCTAACATGGGCAAATTCTCTGTCTCAGAGGCCGCACTTGAGCGCTGAACCTGAAAATTTTCGAAAAAATCAAGGGATGAAAGATGGGACAGGAATTGTTGGATGATGATAATAATACATGGGTTTAGGGAAGAACGATCATCACAAAAAACTTATTGGGATAGAGTAAGTGGTTCTCTCCCTTGTGTGGTTTTAGTAAGTTGTGGTGAGCAGTTTTGGGTTCGTGTCTTGGGGATTTCTGAATCTTATAAATTACATCATTATTTTTTTTCTTTATGGCATAAGGGCCTGTCCAGGGTCTACACAGTTCATGATATTCATGTCTCATGCCCAACAACTGTTGAATAACATTTTGCATCATAGACATTAATATATCAAATTATCCTTTGCAGGATGTCCTGAATCTGGTACAATTGGGGAAGATAGGAGATTTGAAGCAGGTAAATTATCTCGAATATCTTCTACAGCATTGGGTCAAGATGAGTGTGATTTGTTTTTTGTCTATTGTATCCATTTTTCACCAGGTTTGCAACGCTGACTCTCCTCACATTGTACATAAACTGTCGCAGCCACAGACTAGCCCTTCGTCTGAAGCACCCAAGACTCACCCTGTGTTGGATGAAGTGGGAAAAAAAAAACATTGTTAGCTTTGTGGAATTGTTGAATTCTCTCCAAGGAAGCTGAAAGTCCTGGAACTGGTTCAGGAATCCTGTGGGCAATAGAGTGATCATCATGTATGAGAGCATTTGAGATTCTTTGGTGATGGATATGAACGTGAAGTATATGGGGTAAGACACAACTTTACCCAGTAGTTTTGTGGCAATGAGTCTTCTTTGCGACGTTTTGAAGCCCATCACTTTTCTTAAACTGTATTTACAAGAAGATCAAGAGAACTTTACACACTTAGATTCTCGAGTCAAAGAAACACTGAATGATCTCCATTTACTAATTGAAAGGTATCAGCAAAATGATTTCCAAGATGTAAACTTTAGCATGTGTCCAAGTTTGTTTGATGTCATTGCTAACAGAACTTGCCTTGCTGTTCGACTAAGAGGCAATAATCGTGCAGCAGATCCAGAGGACTTTCTTCGGTCAACTGGTATTCCTTTTATATATAGTTTGGTTGGAGAAGTAGAGGACGCATTCTCATCAGTACCCGTCTTATAGGCATTTTGCTACCTAGACCCTAGGAATTTGCCAGAAACCCATAATGTCCTGAATGAGAAGATTATGGACATGTAATGCTTATTTTGAAATCTAATAGTGTATATTATATCATTTTAAACATTTAATTTTTATTTTGCCGTGTGTGTTTTTTCTTATGATCGGTAAATAACGAAAAAATCCTTCGACAATTCAGTGTGCAAATAATGGCCTTACAATTAGTATGAAAAACGTCAGTAAGCACATGACTTAATGAAAGATTGTATGTGCTGACAAGGTCATTGTATCGACCAAAGAACTTACCAAATGACGACTTTAAACAAGACTGCTGATATTCTTGTTTGATCAACTTCTTTTTCTTCCATACGAGTCAAACTCTAAGTAGAGCGTTATACTCCGGTACTGCCACGCTTCGGACAAAGCTAAAAACCCACTCAGGCCACTATGTACAATAAAAAGGTAAAAAAAACTGGTATGCTTAGGAGATGTTGGTAGACAGCTGGCACATCGTGTACGAGTCCAGCTGTGACTGGAAGGACTCTTACGTTGGTGCTGAGGCAATTTCAGATGGTAGGTAGTTCCAGTCTAGTATTGTTCTCGGAAAGGAGTAACGATGTGCATCTATCCGAGTAGACGGAACGTGTGATTGCCTCTGGTCCTGCTGTCACTGGATGTTAGGTACAGATCTGCAGGAATAGCCACTAATGCATGTTTGATCTTATAAAACAATACAAACCTGATTTTCATTCTTCTTATCTGTAGTGGTTCCCAGTGGAGATCTTGAATCATCTGGGTAACACTGCCAGGATGGCGATCATGATAGTTCTTGGTGGCGAATTGTGTTCTTCTTTGCACTTTCTCAAGTTGATGGATTTGCTTGGAGTTCAGGGATCCCATGCTGCACAAGCATATTCAAGGATTGGTCGAACTAGTCCCTGGTATGCTGCAGATCATGCAGATGTCCGGCATCCCCTCATTTCTGCCTGATGAACCCCAGTGTCTTGTTGGCTTTGGATGCAATGTTATTGATGTGGTTGTCCCATCGTAGATCTTTACTGATGGTGACTCCAAGGTATTTGCTGGAATCAACCACGTCTAGGAGGTGTCCATGTATAGTGTAGTTAGCAGTGATGGGATTCCGCTTGTTGGTAATTTGTATAACTACGCATTTTTCTGGGT